GTGCCCTCAAAAACTTAAAACCTCTTCAACTCTCACCTGACCTTAAATCTTAGCATCTTATTTTGTTCTGCAACACCGCTTGGCCCCAATGCAAACTCAATAATGGTTCTAAATAGCCAGAAAATGGCACTTCTGATTTCTCCATTTTACAAGACCTGGATGATTTTTGTCAAAAAATGGGCAAATGGTCTGAGGTGCCTGATGTCCAGGCATTCTTTTACACATTGGTCCCTCCCTAGTCTCTGCTCCCAACACAACTCATCTGAAATCTTTCTTCTTTCTCTCCTTTCTCTTCCTTCAGTCTCCACCCCAAGCTCTGAGTCCTTTGAATCCTCCTTTGCTATGGACCCATCTGACCTCTCCCCTCCTCCCCAGGCTGTCCTTCACCAGGCCAAGCCAGGTGCCAATTCTTCCTCAGCCTCCGCTCCCCCACCCTATAATCCATCTACTACCTCCCCTTCTCACACCTGGTCTGGCTTACAGTTTCATTCTGAGACTAGCCCTCCCCGACCTGCCCAATAATTTCCTCTTAAAGAGATGACAGGAGCTGAAGGCATAGCCAAGGTTAATGTTCCTTTTTCTTTATCTGACCTCTCCCAAATCCATTAGTGTTTAGGCCCTTTTTCATCAAATATAAAAACCCAGCCCAGTTCATGGCTTGTTTGGCAGCAACCCTGAGACACTTTACAGCCTTAGACCCTGAAAGATCAGAAGGCCATCTTATTCTCAATATGCATTTTATTACCCAATCAGCTCCCAACATTTAAAAAAAAGCTCCAAAAATTAGATTCTGGCCCTCAAACCCCGCAACAGGACTTAATTAACCTCACCTTCAAGGTGTACAATAATAGAGAAGAGTTACAATTACTTGCCTCTACCGTGAGAGAAAACCCAGCCACATCTCCAGCACACAAAAACTTCAAAATGCCTAAGCTGCAGTGGTCAAGCATTCCTACAGGACCTCCTCCATCAGGATCTTGCTTCAAGTGCCAGAAATCTGGCCACTGGGCCAAGGAATGCCCGCAGCCCAGGATTCCTCCCAAGCTATGTCCCATCTGTGTGGGACCTCACTGGAAACTGGACTGTCCAACTCGCCTGGCAGTCACTCCCTGGAAGTCTGGCCCAAGGCCCTCTGACTGACTTCTTCCCAGATCTTCTTGGCTTAGTGGCTGAAGACTGACGCTGCCCGATCGCCTCGGAAGCCTCATGGACTGTCACAGATACTTTGGGTAACTCTTACAGTGGAGGGTAAGTCAGTCCACTTCTTAATTAATACGGAGACTACCCACTCCACATTACCTTCTTTTCAAGGGCCTTGCCTCCATAACTGTTGTGGGTATTGACGGCCAGGCTTCTAAACCTCTTAAAACTCCCCAACTCTGATGCCAACTTGGACAACATTCTTTTATGCACTCCTTTTTACTTATCCCCACCTGCCCAGCTCCCTTATTAAGTTGAGACATTTTAACTAAATTATCTGCTTCCCTGACTATTCCTAGGCTACAGCCACACTTCATTGCCACCCTTTTCCCCAGTTCAAAACCTCCTTCACATCCTCCTCTCATTTCCCCCAACCTTAACCCACAAGTATGGGACACCTCTACTCCCTCCCTGGCAACCAATCACATGCCCATTACTATCCCATTAAAACCTAATCACCCTTACCCTGCTCAACACCAATATTCCATCCCACGGCACACTTTAAAAGGATTAAAGCCCGTTATTACTCGCCTGTTATAGCATGGCCTTTTAAAGCCCATAAACTCTTCTTACCGTTCCCCATTTTACCTGTCCAAAAACCAGACAAGTCTTACAAGTTAGTTCAGGATCTACGCCTTATCAACCAAATTGTTTTGCCTACCCACCCCATGGTGCCAAATCCATATACTCTCCTATCCTCAATACCTCCCTCCACAATCCCTCCACAACCCATTATTCTGTTCTGGATCTCAAACATGCTTTCTTTACTATTCCTTTGCACCCTTCATCCCAGCCTCTCTTTGTTTTCACTTGGACTGACCCTGACACCCATCAGGCTCAGCAAATTACCTGGGCTGTACTGCTGCAAGATTTCACGGACAGCCCCCATTACTTCAGTCAAGCCCAAATTTCTTCCTCATCCCTTACCTATCTCAGCATAATTCTTCATGAAAACACACATGCTTTCCCTGCTGATCGTGTCTGGCTAATCTCTCAAACCCCAACCCCTTCTACACTTCCTTCCTAGGCATGGTTAGATACTTCTGTCTTTGGATACCTAGTTTTACCACCCTGATTAAACCATTAAACTCACAAAAGCAAACCTAGCTGACCCCATAGATCCTAATCCTTTCACTACTCCTCTTTCCCTTCTTTAAAAATAGCCCTAGAAGCTGCTCCCACACTAGCTTTCCCTAACTCATTCCAACCCTTTTCATTACACACAGCTAAAATATAGGGCTGTGTGGTCAAAATTCTTACACAAGAGCCGGGACTGTGCCCTGTAGTCTTTCTGTCCAACTTGACCTTACTGTTTTAGGCTGGCCCCCACATTATACCTGATACCACACCTGACCCCCAAGATTGTATCTCTGATCCACCTGACATTCACTCCATTTCCCCATATTTCCTTCTTTTCTGTTCCTCACTCTGATCACACTTGGTTTATTGATGGCAGTTCCACCAGGCCTAATTGCCACTCACCAGCAAAGGCAGGCTATAGTATCCTCCACATCTATCATTGAGGCTACCACTCTGCCCCTCTCCACTACCTCTCAGCAAGCCAAACTCATTACCATAACTTGGGCCCTCATTCCTGCAAAGGGACTATGTGTCAATATTTATACTGACTCTAAATTTGCCTTCCATATCCTGCACCACCACGCTGTTATGTAGGCTGAAAAAGATTTCCTCACTATGCAAGGGTCCTCTATCATTAATGCCTCTTTAATAAAAACTCTTCTCAAGGCCACTTTACTTCCAAAGGAAGCTGGAGTCATTCACTGCAAGGGCCATCAAAAGGCATCAGATCCCATTGCTCAGGGCAATGGTTATGCTGATAAGGTTGCTAAAGAAGCAGCTAGCGTTCCAACTTCTGTCCCTCATGGCCAGTTTTTCTCCTTCTAATCAGTCACTCCCACCTACTCCCCAACTGAAGCTTCCACCTTATCAATCTCTTTCCACACAAGGCAAATTGTTCTTAGACCAAGCAAAATATCTCCTTCCAGCCTCACAGGTCCATTTCTATTCTGTTATCATTTCATAACCTCTTCCATGTAGGTTACAAGCCACTAGCCCATATCTTAAAACCTCTCATTTCCTTTCCATCATGCCAATATATCCTCCAGGAAATCACTTCTCAGTGTTCCATCTGCTATTCCACTACTCCTCAGGGATTGTTCAGGCCCCCTCCCTTCCCTACACATCAAGCTCGGGGATTTGCCCCTGCCAAGGACTGGTAAGTTGACTTTACTCACATGCCCTGAGTCAGAAAACTAAAATAAACTAAAATGCCCTGAGTTTAGAAAACTAAAGTCAGAAAACTCTTGGTCTGGATAGACACTTTCACTGGATGGGTAGAGGCCTTTCCCACAGGGTCTGAAAAGGCCACCACGGTCATTGCTTCCCTTCTGTCAGACATAATTCTTAGGTTTGGCCTTCCTACCTCTATACAGTCCAATAACGGACTGGCCTTTATTAGTCAAATCACCCAAGCAGTTTCTCAGGCTCTTGGTATTCAGTAAAACCTTCATACCCCTTACTGTCCTCAATCTTCAGGAAAGGTAGAACAGACTAATGGTCTTTTAAAAACACACCTCACCAAGCTCAGCCTCCAACTTAAAAAAGAGGACTCTGTCAAGAATAGAGCCCCAAAACTCACCAACCAAGCGAGTAATTGCGCTGAACCCCCTTGGGCACTCTCTAATTGGATATCCTGAGTCCTCCCAATTCTTGGTCCTTTAATACCTGTTTTTCTCCTTCTCTTATTCAGACCTCATGTCTTCCGTTTAGTTTCTCAATTCATACAAAACCATATCCGGGCCATCACCAATCATTCTATGTGACAAATGTTTCTTCTAACAACCCCACAATATCACCCCTTACCACAAAATCTCTCCCACTCTAGGTTCCCACAGTGACCCTAATTCTGCTCAAAGCAGCCCTGAGAAACATCACCCATTATCTCTCCATACCATTCCCCTAAAATTTTCACTGCCCCATTACTTCAACACTATTTTACATTATTTTTCTTATTAATATAAGAAGACAGGAATGTCAGGCCTCTGAGCCCAAGCTAAGCCATCATATATCCCCTGTGACCTGTACATATACATCCAGATGGCCTGAAGCAAGTGAAGAATCACAAAAGAAGTGGAAATGGCCGGTTCCCGCCTTAACTGATGACATTACCTTGTGAAATTCCTTCTCCTGGTTCAGAAGCTCCCCCACTGAGCACCTTGTGACCCCTGCCCCTGCCCACCAGAGAATAACCCCCTTTGACTGTAATTTTCCACTACCTAACCAAATCCTATAAAATGGCCTCACCCCTATCTCCCTTTGCTGATTCTCTTTTTGGACTCAGCCCGCCTGCACCCAGGTGAAATAAACAGCCTTTTTGCTCACACAAAGCCGGTTGGTGGTCTCTTCACAGGGACATGCATGACAGTTTCCTGATCTGTAAAATGGGGATAATAATAGTAACTACCGGACAGGGTTGTTGTGAGGATTAAATGAATCAATATATAAAAAGCACTTAGAATACTATCTGACACATTGTAAACACTCAGTGCTAGCAGCTGCGTTAACTTCATTGTTTTTTGTTTTTTGGTTTTTTTTGGAAAAACACCTGGATTTCATTTGGTAGTTTAAAGGTTTTTGAAAATGTTGATATACACAAGCTGTATTTGAAGCTGGATGACAGACATACTTTTATTCTTTTATTTTATTTTTGAGATGGAGTTTCGCTGTCACCCAGGCTGGAGTGCAATGGAGCAATCTCGGCTCACAGCAACCTCCACCTCCCAGGTTCAAGCCATTCTCCTGCCTCAGCCTCCCAAGTGGCTGAGATTACAAGCACCTGGCCCTACACCCAGCTAATTTTTGTAGTTTTAGTAAAGACGGGGTTTCACCATGTTGGCCAGGCTGGTCTCAAACTCCAGTCCTCAGGTGATCCACCTGCCTCGGCCTCCCAAAGTCCTGGGATTACAGGCATGAGCCACTGTGCCTGGCGACATGCTTTTAACATAGGATTTTTTTTT